GACAGCCCCAAAGGGTATTGGGTTGTCAATTTCCCCCGCGTAATGCAAAATGACTGAAAAACGGCAAACTTCGCAAGGCTATATTATCCGCATTTTACAACATTTCACAACGAAACTTTGGAATATTACTAATTTTGTGATGCTCATTCAAGCTGTGATGAAATTTTTGTCTAGACTTGTTTAGATCAAAATTTAGTCTGTAATGCAAATGGTTCGTTAGCTCAACATGAGCAACAAAGGATAGAGTTTCGCTTAAAAAATTTAAATTAAAAGTCCAGGAAAACTTTTTTCAAATTATTAGCTTATTTTAATCCCCGAGCCAACAGCGCGGAGCACCGTGCGAGGGTACTAATTCCGCCCGGCTACTTATCCCCGTGGAAAGGAAAGCATTAGCGAAGTCTAAAGTTCATCAATGATACACAAACAACGGGTTAAGTTGGGTAAATCTTTGTCAGACTGGGTCACAGCGAATGCTGGTGTTCCACAAGGCACTAAATTGAGCCATATTCTGTTTCTTGTTATGATCAACGATCTTGTCCTACCAACATGTGATTGTTGGAAATATGTAGATGATCTTACTGCTTTGGAGGTTAGAGCCAAATACGGCAATTAAACAATCCAATCAGATCTTGACTGATTATATATCTCCTTGGTCGTCTACTAATTACATGAAATTAAACGCGAAGAAATGTAAAGAGCTAAGGTTTGTTTCTTCCGTGATACGCCTGTTTTGGAACCATTAACTATTGACGGAATACCAATAGATGTTGTTGACCGCCATAAGGTTCTTCGTACTGTATTAAATAGCTCGCTGAAATGGACGGATCATGTTACTGATGATTACGAGGAAGGCAGCAAAGCGTCTTTACATTATACGTACCTTAAAGAGAAGTGGTATGACCGCCGATAATTTGTTAACAATTCATATTGCACTTATTCGTTCGGTTTTGGAGTGCTGTTGCCCAGTTTGGCACACTAACCTACCATCCTATATTCCTATGTCAGCGAACAAATTGAACGTTTACAGAAGAGAGTTTTGAGAATAATTTTCCCAAGTTTATCATACAGAGAGGCACTGTCTGCTGCTGATTGTGTACGGCTGGATGATAACAGACAACGTTTGTGCCTTAATCTCTTCCAAACGATCAATTCAAAAGGCGATAAATACGATAATATACTCAATCCGCTCATACCTAATTCATTTTAACATTCGGCAATACCTGGAATCGGCCGACTGATCGTTGTGTGTAAACGTATTGTGCCCTTATTCAAGCATTTACTGTAAGTTGCGTGTGGTTTTAAGAATTAGTTGGTGCTCAAGTAATTGGAATATGCTTTTCATAGCTATTATTAATGTAAATATTTTTAGAAGGTTTGCAACGGGGGATTGCATCGCATGGGATTTTGAGTCCCGTTCGCACTCTTACCGCTTGGACACGGTCCAAATAAATTGATTTAAATAAATTAAACAAGACGCCTGTTCAGGCGTTCACACAAGCGTTCACACTGGCCTGGAAATGGCAACTTTCGTGATAGGGTGCAATGTGTAGTAGAGAAGTAGATAGGGATACAGTAGGTCTGGACCATATAAATACAACCAATAAATACAATCATGATCAGCAACTATCAACCATAATATACCAAGACGCCGGCTCAGGCGTACCCTCCGGCCACGGGCAACTCAACCTGACAAGCCAAGCCAGGCCACTGTAACTATGATCATCAACTATCACCCGTAAATAATGATGGACCAATAATAGCGAAGAAATTATATTGTCCTTGATTTTTAATGCCATTATATGGCTAGTTTCAGGTGCTAAAAGGTTCATAGACATAGACGATTCTTCTAAAAAATACGCCAATTTGCTTCCATTTATAAGCCATAAACTGATCCCAACCCAAAGCCCTTCTCTAACCCCAACCAGTAAACATCTTTTAAAATACTCATTAAAAATTCATAAATCTTGTGGCAAATCATGTCAGCCATAATATGTCACGTGGAGTGACTTATATCTGATAAAACTCATCTTCATTAGTATTCTTTATATAATTGTTCATCCTAATTAGTATGATTATATAATTGTCCATTCTAATTAGTATTCTTTTGCAGTCGTATTTTAAGCTTTTCAAAACACTCGATCTCGCGTTTAATTTTATCAATGTTTGTAAATCGGATAAAGATTTGTCCTGATTGACATAAACTTCAGCTTTGATTTTCTCGGCTTAGACAATGTTTATTTTTAAAATTACTTCGCCAATGAACTCAGAAAATGGGTCATTTTTTAAGTACGATAAAACATTCGCATCCGATCTGTATCTGATATACAAACTCTTGCCTTCGGCTCGAGTTTGTATATCAGATACAGATCGACTGCTCATGTTTTATTTAGTACTAAAACGCTCGGCTGCGCCCCGCGTTTTAAATATGATAAAACACTCCTTCTCGTGTTTTAAATAGTACTTCAAACACTCATTAATAATTCATAAGCTTATTGGCAAATCATGTCAACCATAATATGTCACGTGCAGTGGCTTTAAACCTGATAAAACACTGCTAATTAGTATTCTTTATATAAAGAATACTAATAAGGCAGAGTCTATTGTTGTCGTGTCCTCATTAGTATTCTTTATATAAAAAATACTAATAAGGCAGTATATCTATTGAATTTGTAGTCGTGTTTGAAGCCGTTTAATAAACTCGCAGGTCGTGTTTTATTAGGTCTAAAGCCACTCGCGCTGCGCGCTCGTGGCTTTAAACCTACTAAAACACTCCTGCTCGTTTATTAAACAGTACATAAACAATTTGAGAATTAAACAAGACGCTCTATAGAGCGTTAACTCGAAAAACGACCTGCGAATTTTTTAAATGGCTTCAAAAACGTTTGCATAATAATTCAAATCGGAATATGAAAAATCTTTATATAAAAATCTTTATATAAAAATCTTTATATAAAAATCTTTATATAGTTTGCATAACAATGGTCTTTTGTTAAAGTGTTCTTTAGCTGGTATAAAGACGTATACACGTGACTAATTTCTTACTCAAGCTTTCTGATTTCTTACTCAATTGCTTCATGAATTATTAATGAGTTTTTGAAAATTAGTTTAATAATTTTGAGCGATTTGTCAACAAAACAATTTCGCTTGGCTTTCGAAGACAATGGCCATAAATCGCTAGAATACAACAGTTTAGTAATACATTTGAGTAATGTCCAATACAGGCATCTGATGTCTAATGGTGAAGATGGTGTACGGTGGTGTATGATGGTTGAAGTGTGTCAGATGGTTGTCAGATGGTGTATGATGGTGTATGATGGTCGAAATGTGTCAGATGGTTGTCAGATGGTGTATGATGGTGTATGATGGTCGAAGTGTGTCAGATGGTTGTCGGATGGTGTATGATGGTGTAGGGTGGTTATACAGGGAAGGGTTGTCAGATGGTGAAGATGGTACAGATGGTGTATGATGGTAGAAGTGTGTCAGATGGTTGTCGGATGGTGTATGATGGTGTAGGGTGGTTATACAGGGAAGGATTGTCAGATGGTGAAGATGGTACAGATGGTGTATGATGGTCGAAGTGTGTCAGATGGTTGTCAGATGGTGTATGATGGTGTAGGGTCGTTATACAGGGAAACGTTGTCAGATGGTGAAGATGGTACAGATGGTGTATGATGGTCAAAATGTGTCGGATGGTTGTCAGATGGTGTATGATGGTGTATGATGGTCGAAGTGTGTCAGATGGTTGTCAGATGGTGAAGATGGTACAGATGGTGTATGATGGTCGAAGTATGTCAGATGGTTGTCAGATGGTGTATGATGGTGTATGATGGTCGAAGTGTGTCAGATGGTTTTCAGATGGTGTATGATGGTGTAGGGTGGTTATACAGGGAAGGGTTGTCAGATGGTACAGATGGTGTATGATGGTCGAAGTATGTCAGATGGTGTATGATGGTGTATGATGGTCGAAGTGTGTCAGATGGTTGTCAGATGGTGTATGATGGTCGAAGTGTGTCAGATGGTTTGCAGATGGTGTATGATGGTGTAGGGTGGTTATACAGAGAAGGGTTGTCAGATGGTGAAGATGGTACAGATGGTGTATGATGGTCGCGGGGTGTCATTCGCTGTAGGATGCATAGATTAGATATTACATTGCTATATTTTATACTTACATACTCTTTAGCCAACTATGGTATGTGTATAAAAATATGTTATATCTAACATTGCGGTTCTCGTGTGGGACATAATTCAAAGTATTTGGCAAAATATATATTTAAACACATTTGACAGACATGTTCGACGTTAATATATTTAAACGCAATTTAAAGTATTTGGCAAAATATATTAAAACGCATTTGGCAGACATGTTGGAGGTAATAAATAAAAATATAATATGAATATATGATATCTCACAATGCGGTTCTGATGTGGGAAAGGTAATTCAAAGTATGTGGCAAAATATATTTAAACGCATTTGACAGTCATGTTCGAGGTAACAACTAACAAATAAAAATATAATATGAATATATATGATATCTCACAATGCGGTTCTCATGCGGGAAACGTAATTCAAAGTATTGGGCAAAATATCACATTTGACAGACATGTTCGAGGTAATAAAAATTGAATTTTGCTGAACATATCGCGCAGCGTTGACAGAAAAGTCTTCAGTGTAGGCTTTTATTTCTACAAGCAACAGTTTCTTACTGTAATAACACCAATTCGGTTGGATAGATTTACTGTATAGGGGCGTCATGTTTGAACTCTATTGTATGTAAGGGAAATAGACGACTAGTGTATAAATGGGAGAAATTTTGAGGCATCCAAGGGAGACATATATCTCATAAATCAAAGAGTTGAAATTTGAGACGGCTTCCGTTTTTGTGTTTGGGTCAAGGATCTACACTAGACTATATTAAGCGCGCGTAGGTTTATAGCGCACTGGCTGAATGTTCAAAACTTCATAAGTAGATTTGCAGCCATACCTTCGCTTAGAAATAACAATCGTTTTAGCACTGTCAGGTAGCCGCGGATTGGGCCCCAAATTCGGCCTTAGATTGGGCCTCACATTCAACTGTATTCAATTATTCAAAAGTAGATTATTTGAACCCCTTTTCTGGCTATTTTTAAGGTGTTTTTTAGTTTAAATTAGCAGTAACATGAGCACTGCAAACTCCTGCACCATATAGCTGAGTTTCGAAACAATTAGGGAGGCCGATTTTGTACAAACGCTTGCTGAATATAGATGTTAGCACAGTGTAATACTATTGTCTAACATTTAATATATAAACAAAAGAAATGAGTGTGATTCTATAAACAAATTAAAGCAATAAGCACCTTATTAATCCTTGCCGTTTTATTTTATTTATTTACTAGCTTTGTCATTAATGATTGGTGATCCCTACAGGGCTTATTGCCCCATTCTTGACAAAGGACGACACGATCGAGTGACATTTAACACAGCCAGTTTTAAACGATTGTGCTACATTAATGTCAAATATAATGACGTTGGTGAGCTTGTACCCCAATTTGCTTCGATCACTTCATTAGAAAGAGCATGAAATGTTATACTGCACAATATGTTGAGTTTCACAACAATTAAAAATACAGATCTTGCGGAATATAGATGTTTGCACAATGTAATTCTATAAACAAAAGCAATTACCACCTTATTAATCCTTGCCGTTTTGACATTGGTGAGCTTGTGCCCCAATTTGCGGTACATCATTGGAAAGAGCATGAAATACTGCATAATTTTGGCGAATTTTGGTAACCGTTTTATGTACCGTTGCCGTGGTTTTGAAAGTAGTCTTACGCCCGTATTCTAAAAGCTCACTCACACTCAATGAGTGGAAGTTCAGTCTGAGCTTCTCTCAAGTGTCATTGCTGTTTTTGAATAGCTGGAGGGTTAGTGTCGTACCGTTACTATGTGACTATACTCACATTCCCGGCAGCTATTGAAAAACAGCGCTGACACTCAAGAGAAGCTCAGTAGGTTACTAGATTATTATGTCAGTAGGTTACTAGATTTTATATATAAAGAGTTCATTATTATATAATTTTTGTATGATGTTAATCTGATAATCTTAGCGTTATTTGTAAATTTGACATTGTATGAGGAGTGGAATTCTATGGAACTTTTTTAGGTGACTTAGGTGGGAGAATACCTCGTACCTGCGAACAAGCTGGGTATGGGAGACCGATTTTTGACAAGTGTTATATTATTAAGTTCACAATCAGGCCACGATGCATGCATACATACAGTGGTTTGAAAATTAAAATTATATAAAAAAATATAAATGTATTTGCCAATGGTTTCAGGATATTTTAAGGAAATTTAATATATCGATTTCATAAATGATTATATAATTGTAAAACACCAGTCGCCAAAACTGAATCGAAAATGCATGGCTATATTTGGGAGCAATCCCAGTAAAACGATATATTCTGTAACAAGTCCTCCGGTGACTCGAATCATAACTCGATGTGAATCCTCGTGGCTCTGGTTACTAACTCAAAATAGTCGCTATTAGCACTGGCGGCTAAACATGTACAAACAATTAGTCAATGTCAATGCACATTGTCCTTGACAACGTTACTAAAAGTATATATACGAAAAACGTCTATACGTGGCCTATAGATGCTTTGTACAATTGTGCATAGAAGCCTTTACGCATCTATAGAGCCCTGTAATTGTCCTTGACGACGTAAATTACAAAATGGGCAGTTATGACGGTTTGAAAACGAGTATAATATAGGCTATTGTATTGCTGTCTTTTCTGACAGTTCTTAACCTTTAAAGTAAATTAGAAA